GACGCGCGCTGGGGAGGAATGGAGGCGCCGTCACGGGGAGTGAGGCGTCCGGGCCAGAGATGGGGCTAAAGGCGCCCCGATGTCCGGCCGCGGCCAGGGGCCCTGCGTGTTCCCCAGCGTCCGGGCCTCCGAAGTGGGCTCCTCCTCTCACCTGGCGGCGCAGCGGCCGGAGGAGCTCGGCGCGGGGTGGGGCGGCCGGGCGGGACGCGGTTACCTGTCCGCAGGTGGCACAGAGGGAGTACCTGGCCCCTTGCCAGAGCACGGACCAACGAGGGCAGTGTGTGGGTGTGCTTGGGGGCGGGATCCCTGCGAAGGGAAGGAGCGAATGCTGGAAGGAGGGAAGGTTCATCACCCTGGCACCCACCTGGCCGGGCACACACCCCCTGCAGGCACCCCCGCCCACCCTGGGGGATTTCCCTAAAGGAAGACGAACTAAGGAAGTGGCCACGCTGTGCAGAGGTCGGTGGATAAAGACTCTAAGGCCAGCGGGTGCCCACCGTTTGGTGACGCGCCCCCTCACACACCCCTGAGACCCCTTCCCCCATCAGCAGCTCCAAGCTGGGGAAGGTGGGACACCTCAGGACCAGCCTCCTACTCACCTCCTGCTAGACTGGGGAGGGGGTGACAACTTTCCTTCCTGGCTTTTTGCCAAAGTACCCGTTTCAGGGCACATGTCGTCCTTGGGTGGTAGCCTGTGCCTCCTTGGGAACGGTCAACGCATCCCGTACCCAAGTGCCTGCCCACAGCCAGAGTTTCCCACACGTGGATCACACGGTCCAAACTCCCCAGCTAGAAATGTGTTTAAGGTCGTTCCCCCGTGAGAGAGAAAAGTCAACGTCCCCAGAATGTCACAGCCGTGAGCTATGCACACCTACATCAGGTGACTCTGTGCTTCCTCCTCTGATCCCAGGAGGTCTGGGCTGGGACTGGGAGGCTGGGTGGTGAGGGGCACAGCCGGGGGTTGTGGGTTTGGGTGGGCGGGTGGCTGGTGTTAGAAGGCAGTGGCTGACCCGAGAGCCAGGTCTGGTGACGGGGCAAAGAGGAGTCCCAAGAGTTTGGTGGCGACTGCACTCAGGGAGGAGGCAAGAGCCCACAGCATGCACCCCACCCCCAGGAAGCCCCCAATGCCCTGAGAAGGCCTGACAAGCAGGACTTGTCAGCACAGACTGTCCAGGGGGCCTTCAGAGAACTGGGCGTGGTGGGAGAGAAATGGGGGTCATGGAAGGGCACCTGTAGCTTTACGCTGCAGAGGTCACTCTGGCTCCAGGAGGCATGGGACTACAGGCACCAAGGCTGGAGACAGGGAGACCGGGCGGAGGTCATCACAGCCACCCCCTCAGCAGTACATGACCTCAGCAGGAGACTGCAGTGAGGAGTGGAGGATGAGACCCTCCTTCAGGCTACAGCCTACCTGACTGTGGGAGAGAGTCCCGGTGGCCCAGCGAGAGGAAAGCGGTGCCATGTGTAAGAGGCATGCCCTGTGACAGCTGTCGGGGTGGGGCAGGGGTCTCAGGAGACACAGAGGCCCGCCTCTGACTGGCCCTTAGCCCTACAAAGCCCTGGAAGTTTCCCGGGCAGCAGCTGGAGAGAGAAGTATGAGGGTCTCCCCAGACAGAGGCATGGGTGGGCCCACGTTGGAGGCTCAGGGAAATCAGAGATGACAGGCACCCTGGACCGTGCTCTTATGGGGGCTGGGGCCAGTGCTGGGACCAGGTGGTCCAAATCAATCGAGGGGTCCAGCAGATGAGGACCCCTCGCCCACTGGGGCCCCCTGGGATGCCGATAGGGGTGGGTGGCTGAGAGGAGGCGTGTGGGGCGGGTGCGAAGTCCCAGGCTGAAGGTTCTCGAAGCCTCAGAAGTCATCAAGAGGTTTGCTGGCCCAGGTGGCGGGGGCGAGGTGCTGGCGGACCTGAAACGAAGGACTACCAGTTTCAGAATTACCACGTTCCCTCACAGCGCTGTCCTATAATCCATCTGGCCTTGCTGTTGTGAATTTTAGATGCTTTCTGTCTCACGAAATTTTCAAAGAGGCTGCTGCTCTAAATGTCCTGAAAGCCTTTTTTCTGATTTCAACCATTTCCCTGGGCCAGGCCACCAGGGGTCAAAGGGCCTGGCCTGGGTGTGGCTCTCACACTCTGGAAATTGTCTTGGTTAGAAGATCCCTCCCAAGTGGGCAGATCCACAATGGGTGGGTGATTCTGTTGACGTGGGGGTGGCTCGTGGCCAAGGCACCGAGCCCCTGGGGTTTGCTGTACTGGCAGGAAGGTAGGTGGTCTTGGCGCTTCTCCCTGAATTCCCAGGCACCTGGCAAACCTGGGCCCGGCTCCTGGCAGATGTGTTCACATTGATATGATGGCTTAACTGTCTTCCTGCGTACGAGTAGCAGGTAGCTCGCCTGTTGGCACCTTGTCTCACCTCCTTCTCGTTTTTGTTTTTATTTCCAGTCCTGGCCTGTTCTTGCTGCTGCTCAGTGGCCTGCAAGCTGGTAAGTGCACGTGGGCTTTGACTCCTGGGGGGTATCACATGGGGAAGGTGAAATGTCTAAACCTTCAGCCGCTGAGTAGTGAGGATGCACGGAGCGATGCAGGCGTTAAGAGTTTCCTTGGCACAGCCCTTCCTGCCTGGTTCCTGCTGCCACTGAATATATTCCGGCTCATGGCAACCGCATGTGTTACAGGGTAGAACTGCTCCATAGGGTTTTCTTGGCTGTAATCTATATGGAAGCAGATCACCAGGCCTTTCTTCCATGGCGCTGCTGGGTGAGTTCAGACCGTCAACCTTTCAGTTAGTAAAAAAAAAACCCAACTCGTTGCCGTTGAGTCAAGCACAAAATTGAAAGCCACAAGGGGGCAGCTTATCTAAACATCGTAGTTCTTGTTTCATTTCGTATTTGGCAGGACAGGGATGCAGTTCCTCCTGTGGGTTTCAGTTCCTCTCCTTGCCAGATGGGCTAGGGACTTTGGTCCTCCAGGGCTCCTGTCTGTTCAACTCTCTTTGCCCCAGTCAACCCTGTGCAACCCCGAAGGCCATCAGCTTCCCCAAGAGCCAGGAATAGGGACGCACCACCACGGCAGAGCCATCCTTGAGCCCCCAGGCCTTGCTGAGCCTTCTCCAGCCCAGAGGGTGGGTTGGGGGCACGAGGATTTTCCTGCAGCCATTTAAGCAGTTGTCACAGTGAAACCACCCTATATATGTTACAGGGACCCTTGGTAATGTAGTGTGACTAACATTATAATGTTGAGAAACTAATGTTTCGTTTTAAATGTCTGAACTTCTTAAAATACTTTATTTTACATGTTGTCATTGCCGAGAATATACACAGCAAAAGCGTTCACCAATTCAGCTTTCTACATGTACATTTCACTGACATTGATGACGTTCTTCGAGTTGTGCAACCATTCTCACCCTCCTTTTCTGAATTGTTCCTCCTCCATTAACATAAACTCACTACCCCCTACATTTTCTGTCTAATCTTTCGAGCTGCTGTTGTCAGTTTGATCCCATATAGATAGGTCTTAAAAGAGCAAGTGCTCAAGGCAATAAATGTCTAAAATTTTAAAAGCTTTTTATTTTGAATTAATTCTAGACCCCAAGAAGTTGCAAAAATGGTACAGAGACGCACCGTGTACCCGTTATCCAGCTTGTCCCAGTGGTGGCGTCTTCCATACTACATAGAGCCTTATCAAAACCAGGAAGTAGACATTGGACAACACAGTGAACTCATTTACAGTGAATGTGTGAACTTTTAAAGTAGTTTTGTAATCCTAAGAGTATTTTCAATGTGTTGAAGCTATTCTTGAGATGGTCTCTAAATTCGGTTGAGATATGCCTAAGGCTGTACTTTGGCTCTCGTGGACTTGTTCTAATTTTCTTTAGCTTCAACTTGTGTCTGCATATGGGCAATCATTGGTCTGTTCTGCAGTCAGCCCCTGGCCTTGTTCAGACTGATGATATCGAGCTTTGCCATCGTTTCTTTCTGCAGATGTAGTCGATTTGACTCCTGTGTATTCCACGTAGCAAGGTCCACGTGTATAATCACCGTTTATGTTGTTGAGAAAAGGTATTTCCAATGAAGAGGTCACTGGTCTTGCAAAATTCTATCATGTGATCTCTGGTGTCATTTTTATGACCAAGGCCATATTTTCCAACTACTGATCCTTCTACTTTGCTTCCGACTTTCGCATTTCAATCGTCAATAATTGTCAATGCATCTTGATTGCATGTTTCATCAATTTCAGACTGCAGAAGTTGGTAAAAATCTTCAGTTTCTTCATCTTTGGGATTACTGGTTGGTGTGTAAATTTTAGTGATAGTCATATTAACTGGTCTTCCTTGTAGGTGTATGGATATTATCCTATCACTGACAGCGTTGCACTTCGGCATAGATCTTTAAAAGTTCTTTCTGACAAAGAATGTGACACCATTTGTCTTCAATTTGTCATTCCTGGCATAATAGACCCTATGATTGTCCGATTCAAAATGGCCGATACCAATCCATGTCAGCTCACTAATGCCTAGGAAATCCATCTTCAAGCGTTCCATTTCATTTTTGACCACTTCCAATTTTCCTGAATTCATACTCCGTACATTCCACATTCCAATTATTAATGGATGTTGATAGCTGCTGCTTCTCATTTTGAGTTGTGCCACATCAGCAAATGAAGGTATCCAAAGCTTTACTCCATCTACGTCATTAAAGTTGACTCTACTTTGAGGAGGCAGCTCTTGCCCAGTTGTGACCTAAGCCATGGTGTTTTCAATCGCCCCATGTGCGTGTGAAATCTGGACAACGAAAAAGGAAGACTAAAGAAGAACTGATGCCTTTGAGTTATGGTGTTGGTGAAGAATATTAAATAGACCATGGACTGCCAGAAGAATGAACAAATCTGTCTTGGAAGAAGTAGCCAGAATGCTCCTTAGAAGGGAGGATGGTGAGACTTCATCTTAAATACTTTGACAAGTTATCAGGAGGGACCAGTCCCTAGAGAAGGACACCACGCTTGGTAAAGTAGAGGGTCAGTGAAAAAGAGGAAGACCTTCAGCGAGATGGATAGACACAGTGGTTGTAACAATGAGCTCAAACATGGCAACAATTGTGAGGATGGTGCAGGGATGGGCTGGGTTTTTTCTGTTGTCTATAGGGTCACTATCACTCCGGACTGACTCCATGGTACCTAACAACAGGACAGAGCAGCAGAATGACAACCTCAGTTCCTGCAGTTGGTGGTGACGACCGAATTGACTCAACGGCACCTAACGACAGCAAGTGTATCTTGGAGTCTCTGCGTGGAGCAAATTGTTAAGCACTTGGCTGCCAGCCAAATGGTTGGAGGTTCAAGTCTGCCCAGAGGTGCCTCAGAAGAAAGGTATGGCAATCTACTTTCAATGAAACAGTCCCTGAAAACCCCTGGAGCACATTTCTGCTTTGACACACACTGGATTGCCATGAGTCAGAGTCTACTTGGCGGCAGCTGGTGGGGGTGGAAAGAATCTTATTGATAAATTCCTTTTCTGCTGACGTGAGTTAGACCTGGGGTTTGAGACTCACAACCAAGAAGCCGGCCCAGTGGAGTAACTTCACAGGCTCGGAGCCCAACTTGGAAAACTAACTTTGTTCTTTTTTAATCATTGCAGATATTCAAAAGAAAGAAGAAGTCCAAGGGATCGTGGGTAGCAGTGTTGAGCTCAACTGTGTTTACCCTGAAGGAAGCAGTTTTGATTTAAATGACTTTTATATTTATTGGCAAACCGCCATGCCAGAGACCGTGGTAACTTACTACCTCCCCGGGAATACCTCCCCACGCTATAAAGATAACCGCTACCAGCACCGAGCCCAGCTATCTCTGGACAGCATGGAGCAGGGCAACTTCTCTCTGCGTTTATACAACATTACCCCCCAAGATGAGCAAACATTCCACTGCCTTGTGTTCCAGAAGTCCTTGGAATTAAAAAAGGTTTTGCAAGTTAACGTCACACTACACGTGGCAGGTGAGACCACTGAAGCCAAGAGAACTGATTTCATCCCAGCCTTACATACTGGGGAGTCCCTGGGTGGTGCAAGTGGTAAACACATTCAGCTGCTAACTGGAAGGTTGGCAGTGCAAGTTCACCCAGAAGCACCTCGGAAGAAAGGCCTGGCGATCTACTTCCAAAAAATCAGCCATTGACAACCCTGTGGAGCACAGTTCTACTCTGACACACATGGGGTCACCATGAATCAACGCTGACGCAAAAGCAACTCTTTTTTTTAATTTTCCTTACATCCTAGAAAAAGTATTCATCATTACTTAATTTTATTAATTATTAATAAATTCCTTTATTACATAAAACTCTTGTATTAATTATCAATTAATAATTTTAGTAATTACTGGATCTTCCTGGAGCCCTCATGGTGCAGTGGTTAAGCACTCAGCTGCTAACCAAAAAGTCAGCAGTTCGAATCCAGCAGCTGCTCCTTGGAAACCCTATGGGGCAGTACTCCGTCCTGTAGGGTCACTATGAGTCAGAATTGACTCAGTGGCAATGGATTTGGTCCTGGCTCGTCATTCAACGTGTAAGAAACTTTCCCATAAGCCGAGGCTACCTGTTTTTACCAAAGAACTTCTAATCTCACCGTCTTTTCCTTGAACTCTCCAACTCAACTCAAGCTAGGTTTTTTATGAAATTGGGAGGGAGTGTCGTGAAACACTGAATGAGATCGGAATTTAGGGAAAGATTAAAGTCTGCTAAGGAGCTAAGGGCACGGCTCAGTGGGGAGACAAGCCATGTCCGTTCCAGATGAACTGCAAGCTCTCCACAGCACCGGTGAGAAGGACTAGATTCCTGTGAGGCCAGGAGAAGCAGATCTCCTTGGGGCCCAGGCTGTGGGCAACATTCCAGGCCCACCCGGGCTCATTAGCTCCCCCTATTGGAGTGTGAGTGGAGGGCGACTCTTGGTCAGAACAGGGCCTGCGCTGACTTCTCAGACATCACCCTGTCCTCACCCCCTACCTGGTTCAGGGGTACCACGGGCCGCCCCCGCTGCCCTGGCCCTGGGCATGGTGAACCTCTCTGTTTCATGACCCTCAGATGCTGCCACCCCTCATCCCTGTTTCCTCCCCCTGCAGCCAACTACAGCATCCCCGTCGTCAGCAACCCCATCGGCCCCTCCGAGGACGAGGAGCTCACCTTCATGTGTAAGTCCACCAATGGCTACCCGAGACCCAACGTGTACTGGATCAACCAGACGGACAACAGCCTGCTGGACGAGGCGCTACAGAACAGCACAGTGTCCGTGAACGAGCATGGCCTGTATGACGTGGTCAGCACCCTGAGAGTCCGCAGGGCCCCCAACGTGAACGTAAAGTGCTGCATCGAGAATGTGCTACTGCACCAAAACCTGACCGTCAGCAGCCAGACAGGTGACGCCCAGGACTGCACGCGACCCCAGCCGAAGGCGGCGGGCCGGTGGGGGCTTGGGTGGGCTCCCAGACAGAGACACGGTCCCTGCAAGGTGACCCAGCGCAGCGTCAGGAAGGAGGCTGGGAGGGAGAGAAGGGGAGGGCCGGGCGCGAGACACAATATGAAAAGCGCTACTGTTTCTGAAGGCAGACATGGGTCAGAGTAGAACGGTGATCCAGAGGATTTTCTTTTTCTTTGTATTGTGCTTTAAGTGGAAGTTCACAATTCAAGCACAAGAATTGATACACACATTGTTATGTGACCCTAGTTGCTCTCCCGATACTGTGACAGCACACTCCTCCTTTCCACCCTGAATTTCCCGTGTCCATTCAACCAGCCCCTGACCCTCTCTGCCTTCTCATCTCACCTCCAGACAGGAGCTGCCCATTTAGTCTCATGTGTCTACTTGAGTTAAGAAGCACACTCTTCACAAGTATCATTTTATGTCTTATAGTCCAGTCTAATCTTTGTCTGAAGAGTTGGCCTTGGGAATGGTTTTAGTTTTGGGCTAACAGAGAGCCTGGGGCCATGTCTTCTGAGGTCTCTCCAGTTTCAGTTAAACCATTAAGTCTGGTCTTTTTACTAGAAATTGAGTTCTGCACCCTACTTTTCTCCTGCTCCGTCAGGGACTCTCTGTTGTGTTCCCCGTCAGGGCGGTCATTGGTGGTAGCCGGGCACCATCTAGTTCTCCTGGTCTCAGGCGGATGAAGCCTCTGGTTTATGTGGCCCTTTCTGTCTCTTGGGCTAATATTTTCCTCACGTCTTTGGTGTTCTTCATTCTCCTCTGTTCCAGGTGGGTTGGAACCAATTGATGCACCTTAGAAGGCCGCTCGCTAGCTTTTAAGACCCCAGACGCCACTCACCAAAGTGGGATGCAGAACATTTTCTTAAACTTTGTTATGCCAATTGACCTAGATGTCCCCTGAAACCATAGTCCCCAGACCCCTGCCCCTGCTACTCTGTCCCTCAAAGTGTTTGGTTGTATTCAGGAAACTTCTTAGCTTTGGTTTAGTCCAGTTGTGCTGACTTCCCCTGTAGAGTATGTTGTCCTTCCCTTCACCTAAGATAATTCTTATCTACTATCTATTTAGTAAATACCCCTCTGCCTCCCTCCCCACCTTCATAACCATCAAAGAATGTTTTCTTCTGTGTTTAAACCTTTTCTTGAGTTCTTGTAATAGTGGTCTCATACAATATTTGTACTTTTGCTACTGACTAAATTCACTCAGCATAATGCCCTCCAGATTCCTCCATGTTATGTTTCACGGATTCATCGTTGTTCTTTATCGTTACATAATATTCCATTGTGTGCATGTACCATAATTTGTTTATCCATTCATCTGCTGATGGACACCTAGATTGTGTCCATCTTTTTGCTATCGTGAACAGTGCTGCAATGAACATGAGTGTGCATATACCTATTCGTGTGACGGCTCTTATTTCTCTAGGATATATTCCAAGGAGTGGGATTACCGGATCATATGCTACTTCTATTTCTAGCTTTTTAAGAAGTACCAAATCGATTTCCAAAGTGATTGTACCATTTTACATTCCCACCAGCAGAGTACAGGTGTTCCAGTCTCTCCACAACCTCTCCAACATTTATTATTTTGTGTTTTTTGGATTGATGCTAGCCTTGCTGGGGTGAGATGGTATCTCATTGTAGTTTCGATTGGTATTTCTCTAATGGCTAATGATCAGGAGCATTTTCTCATGTGTCTGCTAGTCGCCTGAATGTCCTGTTTGGTGAAGTGCCTGTTCATATCCTTTGCCCATTTTTTAATTAGGTTATTTGTCTTTTTGTTGCTGAGGTGTTGCAGTATCCTGTAGATTTTAGAAATTAAACGCTGATCGGATTTGTCTGAGCCAAAAATTGCTTCCTAGTCTCTAGGTTGTCTTTTTACTTTTTTGGTGAAGTCTTTGATGAGCATAAGTGTTTGATTTTTAGGAGCTCCCAGTTATCTAGTTTCTCTTCCGGTGCTTGTGCATTGTTACTTATGGTTCGTATTGTGTTTATGCCATGTATTAGGGCTCCTAGCATTGTCCCTATTTTTTCTTCCATGATCTTTATCATTTTCAATTTTATATGTAGATCTTTGATCCATTTTGAGTTAGTTTTTGTGCATGGTGTGAGGTATGGGTCTTGTTTCAGTTTTTTGCAGATGGATATCCAGTTATGCCAGCACCATTTGTTAAAGAGACTGTCTTTTCCCAGTTAATGGACTTTGAGTCTTTGTCAAATATCAGCTGCTCATAGGTGGATGAATTTATGTTTGGATTCTCAATTCTGTTCTATTGGTTTATGTATCTCTTGTTGTACCAGTACCAGGCTATTTTGATTACCGTGATGGTATAACAGGTTCTAAAATCAGGTAGTGTGAAGCCTCCCACTTTGTTCTTCTTCTTCAGTAAAGCTTTACTTATCTGGGGCCTCTTCCCCTTCCATATGAAGTTGTTGATTTGTTTTTCCATCTCATTAAAAAATGCTGTTGGAATTTGGGTTGGGATTGCATTGTATCTGTAGATTGCTTTGGGTAGAATTGACATTTTCACAATGTTGAGTCTTCCTATCCATGAGCAAGGCATGTTTTTCCACTTATGCAAGTCTTTTTTGGTTTCTTGCAGTAGTGTCTTGTAGTTTTCACTGTATAGGTCTTTTACGTCTCTGGTTAGATTTATTCCTAAGTATTTTATCTTCTTGGGGGCTATTGTAAATGATATTGATTTGGAGATTTCCTCTTTGAAGTTCTTTTTGTTGGTATGGAGGAATCCAACTGATTTTTGTATGCTTATGTTGTATCCTGAGGCTTTGCTGAAATCTTCTATTAGTTCCAGTAGTTTTCTCGTGGATTCTTTGGGGTTTTCTGTGTAAGATCATATCATCTGCAAATAGAGATACTTCTACTTCTTCCTTACCAGTTTGGATGCCCTTTATTTCTTTTTCTACCCTAATTGCTATGGCTAGGACTTCCAGCACAGTGTTGAATAAGAGTGGTGATAAAAGGCATCCTTGTCTGGTTTCCATTCTCAAGGGGAATGCTTTCAGACTCTCTCCATTTAGGATGATGTTGGCTGTTGGCTTTGTACAAATGCCCTTAATTATGTTGAGGAATTTCCCTTCTACTCTTATTTTGCTGAAAGTTTTTTATCACGAATGGGTGTTGGACTTTGTCAAATGCCTTTTCTGCATAGATTAATAAGATCATGTGGCTCTTGTCTTTTGTTTTATTAATGTGATGGATTCCATTGATTGTTTTTCTAATGTTGAACCATCCCTGCATAGCTGGTATAAATCCCACCTGATCATGGTGAATTCTTTTTTTGATATGTTGTTAAGTTGTATTTGCTAGAATTTTGTTGTGGAGTTTTGCGTCTATGTTGAGGGATATTGGTCTGTAATTTTCTTTTTCGTGTGGTGTCTTTACCTGGTTTTGGTATTAGGGTTATGCTGGCTTCATAGAATGAGTTTGAGAGTATTCCGTCCTTTTCTGTGCTCTGAAATACTTTTAGTAGTAGTGCTGTTAACTCTTCTCTGAAAGTTTGGTAGAATTCTCCAGTGAAACCGTCAGGGCCATGTTTTTCTTGGTTTTTATTTTGATGTGTAGGATTGTTAGTTTCATTTGTGGTTACGTTAATACTTACCCCTATTTTTCTAAGTTTAAACCATTCTTTTATTTCTTTATATCGCCTTGACCTCCTCTCCATATGAAAGATCTATGACTACATGTTTTAGTCCCTCTTTTTTTGTTTTAACGTTGTCATCTTTTATGAATTGAAGTCTCTGTTTCCCTATTTTCAGTGTTTTCTCTTTGATTTATTTTTGTGACTTCCCTATCTGGGTTGATATCTGGTTGCTCTGTCCTGTGTTCTAGTCTTGGGTTGTTATCTGATGTTATTGATTTTCTAACTGGAGGACTCCCTTTAGTATTTCTTGTAATTTTGGTTTGGTTTTTGCAAATTCCCTAAACTGCTGTTTATCTGGAAATGCCCTAATTTCACCATCATATTTGAGAGACAGTTTTGCTGGATATGTAATTATTGGCTGGCAATTTTTTTCCTTCAAGGCTTGATATACATCATATCATTGCCTTCTTGCCTGCATGGTTTCTGATGAGTAGTCCAAGCTTAGTCTTATTGACGCTCCTTTGTAGACGACTTTTTGTTTATCCCTAGCCACTCTTAAAATTATCTCTTTATCTTTGGTTTTGGCAAGTTTGATTATAATATGTCTTGGTGAATTTCTTTTGGTATCTACCTTATGTGGGGTTTGACGAGCATCTTGGATAGATATCTTCTAGTCTTTCAAGATATCAGGGAAATTTTCTGCCAACAAATCTTCAACAATTCTCTGTGTATTTTCTGTTACCTTCCCCACCCCACCCCCACCTCCCCCTACCCCCGTTCTGGTACTCCAGTCACTTGTAGGTTATTCCTCTTGATAGAATCCCACATAATTCTTAGGGTTTCTTCATTTTTTAAATCCTTTTTTCTGATTTTTCCTCAAATAAGTTGTTGTCAAGTGCTTTATCTTCAGTCTCACTAATTCTGACTTCCATTGCCTCAATTCGGCTTCTATGACTTTCTACTGAGTTGTCTAATTCTGAAATTTTATCATTAATCTTCTGGATTTCTGATGGCTGTCTCTCTATGGATTCTTGCAGTGTGTTAAATTTGTCATTATGCTCTTCTCTAATCTTCTTAAGTTCCTCTCTTGCTTTGTCTGTGTGTTCCTAGGGTTGTTCTGCGTTTGGCCTGATCTCCTTCCTGATCTCTTAAAAAGTTCTGTATATTAATCTTTTGCATTCTACCTCTGGTAATTCCAAGAAATTCTCTTCCTCCAGAAAATTTCTTGAGTCTTTGTTTTGGTCACTTGCTGAAGCCATCATGGTCTGCCTTTTTATGTGATTTGATATTGACTGTTGTCTCCGAGCCATCAATAAGTTATTATATTTATTTATTTTATGTTTGCTTACTGTGTTCTAGCTTCTTGTTTTGTTTTGATATGCCCACATAGGCTGCTTGTATGGGCTAGTTGGATTATTGGCACCTTTGAAGCTCTAGTGTCTTGTCAACCAGTTGGTTAGGTCTGTGAGCCTAGGAGTTTCTTTTCTTGTATGGATTCAGCTCAGGTGTCCAGGTAGTTGGTCACCAAGTGTGTGGTGCAGGCTCTCACCTATAGTCCTAGACAGGCAGGGGTGATTGGCGTAGGCACAGGTATCTGGCTGCAGTAGGGGGTCACATGCTGAGCAAAGCAGGGGGCTGATGGCTGCCCCTGAGTGTCTGGGAGGAAAATGTGTCCCTGTTCCCTAGAGCACATAGGTGGGTGGGTTTTGCTGCCAGACTGTGAGCACCCAGTGCTGTTGGCTGTAAGGACTGGGAGGCACCACTTATTCTTGGACCCCTGTCATGGGTGACTGGGTGGTGTAGGTGGAGCCACCAGTCCTCAGGCCTCTGACGTGGATAGGTGAGGACCTTACTTAATGGGCAAAGCAGTGTCAAACATCATAAATCTGCCACTTCACCATATAGCTGATGCTGTGAAGTTAGGTTTCAGGTATATACCTGTTGTACTGTGATGATGAGGGCCTATGCTGTTGAAATGAGCCCACACAGGTCTATGCAGGGATGAAAGACATTCAAAGTCTGTGGACCCCTTATGCCTTTGCCTGGGCAAAGGAGCTGTGCCTACTCTGAGTTCCCAGCTTAGGGGAGCTGGTAGATTATTTTTTGCTATTTGTGAAAGCTCATGGTCCCCGAGCCCACCGAAATGACTAGGAAAGGGCTGCGCCAAAATGCCTGCCTTTGAACACTACATTCAAGCCAGCACTGGAAGACAGAACCCCAAAGCCTCTTCTAGGGCAGCAGCTTTGACACTAGCTACACAGTGGGGTCACCTGGGCAACATGTGAAAGCTTCTATGCCCAGGCTCTGCCCCAGACCCATCTGATCAGAACCTCTGGGCTGGCCCCTAACATCAGTACAGTTTTAAGAGCTTCCAGATGGTTCTAAGGGGTATCCAAGGTTAAACCACCGTCCAGGTCACTCTTTCTCCAGGTGTGCTTGGAGAAACACTGGGTATTTGTAAGGAATTCTCCAGTGATGTAGTTGCTAATTTGATTGAGAGAACCCTTCTCTGGGGGCTAAGTAGTTGGACATAAGACAGGAGAAATTGGAGCCCTCATCCACTGCTGGTGGGATTGTAAAGTGGTTCAGCCGCTGTGGAAAACAGCATGGCAGTTCTTCAGAAAGTTAAACAAAGAATCACCATACGACCTAGCAATTGCATTCCTAGGTGTATACTCAGGAGACTTGACTGAAACATATGCATGAATACTAATGTTCACTGCAGCACGATTCACAATAGGCAAAAGGTGGAAACAACCCAAGTGTCCATCTGCTGATGAACTGATAAACAATATGTGGTATATACATTGAACCATAAAAAGGAACGAAGTTCTGATACATACCACAACATGGATGGACCTTGAAACAAGGTGCTGAGTGAAATAAGCCAGACACAAAAGGCCATGTATTGTATGATTCCATTTATATGAAATGTCAAGAATCGAGAAATCCGTAGAGACAGAAAGTAGATTAGTGGTTGCCAGGGGCAGAGAGAAGGGGAATGGGGAGTGACTGCTCACGGGTATGGGGTTTCCTTTTGGAAATGATGAAAACGTTTTGGAATTAGATAGAGGTAGTGGTGGCTCCTTAGAAGGGAGGATGGCAACATTCATCTCGTGTGCTTTGGACATGCTATCAAGAGGGACCAGTCCCTGGAGAAGGACATCGTGCTTGGTAAAGTAGAGGGTCAGCCAAAAATGGGATGGATTGACACAGTGGCTGCGCCAATGGGCTCAAACATGGCAATGATTGTGCGGATGGCACAAGACTGGGCAGTGTTTCGTTCTGTCGTACGTGGGGTTGCTATGAGTCGGAACCGACTTGATGGCACCTAACAACAGTGGTTGCACAACATTGTGAACATGCTGAATACCACTGGGGTATACACGTTAAAATGGCTAATTTTATATTCTGTGGATTTCACCTCCCTTAAAAACAAAAGATAGGAGGAAGCTGTGTTTCTGGACAAGCTCTTCCCCAGGTATAGACCTGTGGAAAGGGTTAGTAAAACCATCCCCAGGAATTACAGGTGACAAACGCAGCCAAGCTCTTTGGGATACCGTATTTTCGCAAATAACACGCCCACGCATATAATGTGCATAATGCACCTGGGAAAATAATGCTCAAGGGGGCTGCGCGGTTGGCAAAAAAACATATACCGGGCATGTTATTAGCATAAAAGTACAGTAAATTCTTCTCTGTAGTACTCTCTTAAAGATGAGAAAAGATCCTTTTCCTCCTTGAAGTTAAGTCTTAGGTTATTTTCCTCTTTCCTGTAGAGCCTTCCTCTGGAACCAAAGACAAGATCACAGATAAGCCAGCCAGACCCCAGGAGAAAAACATCACCGTTTTTATCGTCTTTGGCATCCTGTGCGTGCTTGTGGCTGTGGCTGTGGCTGCCGGCTGGTTTTATAGGAACAGACGTTCCAGTGGAAGCTACATAGGTATCAGACAAGACTCATGGTGTAGACTGTCTATGCTTATTTTGTTGGGGTGGGCATTGTGCCTCTTTAAGCATTCCTAACTCTGCAAGATGTTGCTTTCACTTGAAATTTGCTTTTAACGGTATTCCTATTCACTAGGGTTAGCAACTAAATGCTCCAAGGAAGTGGATTTGAAGTCCAGACACTGAGGCACTCACGCCAAAAGGCAGCTGTAATAAGTCCAGTCTTCTGGGTTCTGGGTTCTGGGTGCAAGTGAGGGAGTCCAAATTTCAAGATCCGGGCAGAGTTCGCTTCTGGCAAAGCTGACTGACCCTGCCTTAAATCATTGACATGGCTGTCCATCTGTAATTCTGGCCAGTCTCCAAGATAGATCTAGAAAGTATGCATGTTAACCATAGACAATCCAATAACAGAATCTGCACTGATGACCAGAAGCAGCCCCAGGCACAGACGACTGTGATGGTGCCAGCTCTTTATATCAGCCCTAGCTCAAGAAGCCTGCAGGGCCAGCTGTGCCCAGCTCACACCTTGAGGGGCATAGGGTAGTCTCTTAGGTCAGCAGGCACCCCCAAAGGTCTGAATGATGAGGTCAGGGCTCTTTTTGGAGACTCTCGCAAGAGTGCGGGTGAAGGAAAAGCAGTTGCTGTCGAGTCAATCCTGACTCGTGGTGACCCACGTGTGTCAGAGCAGAACTATGCTCCATAGGGTTTTCAATGGCTGATTTTTCAAAAGTAGGTCACCAGGCCTTTCTTCCAAGGCACTTCTGGGTGGACTTGAACTGCCAACTTTTCAGTTAGCAGCTGACTTCGTACTCTTTATGCCACCCTTGTTAAAGTACCCAGAAAGCCAAACCAATTGCTGTCAAGCTGACCCCGACTCATGGCGACCCCGAATGTCTCAGAGTAGAACTGCATCCATGGGGTTTTCAATGGCTGATTTTTTGGAAGTAGATCGCCAAGCCTTTCTTCTGAGGCACCGCTAGGTGGACTCAAACTGCCAGTCTTTCAGTTAGCAGCTGACCGTTTGCAGCGCGTAGGGACTCCCAAAGACAAAGGAAGCACTGTTTAAATGGAGCTCAGTTGCCCCTTGGTTACAGAGTTGGCTTCCAGCTGGAGCCTCCCCGTGGACATCCTTTCCTGTCCTGCTCCTCGGCGCTGTTCTTAAGTTTCCAGACTCATGTTTGTTACCAGTTCTTTAGCCTGGAAAGACTGTTCTTTGCCCACAGCCTATCCTGCTGATCTGGTCAGTCTGGAAGGGTGTCCTGAGTCCAGGGCACAGAGAATCTTAAACAGCAGAGAACCTGTGCACTTGCCCTTTAAAAGCCAGCTTCTTCAAAAAGGAGGTTCTGGAAGGTCCCAGCCAGGTCACCCAGGAGGCTGGCACATCCACGCCGAGCACCTGCATTAAATGAATCTTAACATGCTCCTTTCTGAAGTGATGGAGCGTTTAGTAAAGTGAATATGCACCCCAGATTTGCTTGGGGCAGCGCACAAAGCCACACACAGTGCAGATCAGGAAGAGATGAGTGAGGGAATTGGGGTTCAGGGAGCATAGGGACGGACAAGGATGGAGAATGATGTGGTGGCATTGGCCCAAGGGTCCCTCACCTGGAATCCATCTCTGCCCCACGCAGGGAGCTGTGGGAGGGGAGAGTCCGAGCAGGGTAGGTGGTTGATGCCCCTGCCTCCTGGAGCACTGGGGGGCTCCAGTGCACCCCCTTCCTGCCCGCCACTGCCCTGACGTCTGTGATTTGCTCTGACAGGTGCGCTGTGTGCCAAGCCGGAGCTTAAGCTCACCGGTGAGTATGCAGAGAGGGCTTTCCAACTCGTCCCTTTTGGCATTTTATGATGGAATTTTCCAGACATCTACAAAAGCAGAGGATACTCCTATGAGGAGCCCCAGGCACCCTTTCCCCCAACCCCGCTTCAACCACCATCTCACTCAGCCTGGCCTTGTCCTCTGTGAGCCCCCCTCTCCACTCCCCTCACCCCTCCACTTCTCCCTACTCCCACCCCTACCTCCCCACTTCTACCCCCACCTCTCCACTCCCACCCCCACCTCCCCTCTTCCCCCCACCTCCCCACTCCTACCCCCACCTCCCCTCTCCCCCCAACCTCCCCACTCACACACCCCTTGGGATATCTAAGCTGCAGACACCACGTTGTTCTGGTCTGAAACAGGAGAGCTGTCTGTAAGACGCAATGGTGGCTTTGTGTTTTCTGGGGAGGTGAACGCCTACAGTCCATTGACACAAAGGGAGGTCCGGATTCCTGTTCCAGTGGGGGAATAGTCACTCAGAGTCCCAGCACCCATCTAGCAAGACTTGGAGCTGTTCGAAGGTCAGGGCTTTGCAGACAGACCTGCTCTGCTGGGTACCTTTGACAAACTGCCACACCTCTCTGAGCCCCGTTGTTCCCTATGGAAAGGAGTCTGCTGGGGAGGGTGGGGCCTAGCATGTCCAGCCCGCCCCGAGGTACATGGAATACCCACCCCCGGATGGTGCCCGCCCGCTGACCCAGGGCTCATGTTGCTCTGTTTCTGCGGGAGGTACCCACCAAACTCCCAGGCAAGCCAAGCTCAGATAAATTTTGGAACACAACTTGCCAATAAATTAGGGCCTGCCTGTTCTTAATTAAGGTAAAATGAAGCAAGTTAATGAGCCCTGGTGGCGCAGTGGTTAAAAGCTACGGCTGCTAACCAGAAGGTCTCGGAAGTTCAAATCCACCAGCCGCTCCTTGGAAACCCTAGGGGATAGTTCTACTCTGTCCTGTAGGGTCGCTATGAGTCAGAATCGACTCAACAGCAATGGATTTGTTTTCTTTTCAGTTTGGTGTTTAGAGACCCTCCCTACCAAGGTGCTGTGTTTTCAGGATTCTGTGTCCCGAGCGGGTGACAAAGAGAGGGTAACAGCGTCTCACCTCCTTGCCTCCCTTCCCAGGCCACGTTTGACAGAAGACTCCTACGGATGTTGGGACGTCAGAGAGACGCCCTGGCCAGACTTCACACGGCAGCTGGGGAAAGTGTCCCTTTGTGAAACGCAGGGCTGTGACTCGGACAGGCTTGCCCCCATCTGCATCACTTACAAGGACAAGGAGCCTCCTCAGCCGGAGGGGACACGCAGGGCCTCCCTCAGCAAGACCACGACCAGGCCTGGGAGGATGTACAGGTGCCGCCACTGACCCTGAGTGAGGCCCTTTCAGGGAGTGTCAGCGGGTCAGAGCAGGAGTGTCCTCAAGTGGGCCGGCTCCCTGCCTTTGCGGCCAAACGTGGAATGATACGGGCTGCTTCTCCACCGTGGAACACGTGTGACCCCGAGACCTGTGCCGGGGACTGGCACCTCTGTTGGGACATGGCTTCACAGCTGGAAGAAGGGAGCTGAGTTTGCAAAAAAGAGCGGGGCACTCCACTCCCGGATGCCTCTGGGGTAGTGGAAACTGTGCTCGGCGGGGGCCAGCCAGAGGTTTACGAGAGACACAGGTTGTGGGGGGGGGGTCCCAGCCTGCCTGTGAGCTTCCACCACGTCCTCCACCCTGAAGCTACAGGATCCGTGTGTCTGTGTGCGTGTGTATCTGTGCGTGTGTGTGCATGTGGTTTGTTCTCATGGTCTGTTACACCCGTGTGTGCATGTTTGCATGTGGAGGCATGTGGGTGTGTGCATGTGTGCGTGTGTCTGCACACCTGTCTGTATGGACGCGTGCACACACGTGTTCTATGTGCCCAGGAATTCAGTAAACGACCGCAGTGAAGAGCTGCTTGGAGATTCCACTGGACTTTTTCTCTGGGAGACTTAACTGGGGAGAAAACCTGGCCTCATTCACGTTGGTCAAAAGCCGTGTGATTTTGTGAGAGGAAGCTCTGCTTCGGGGCACAGCGGGACACAGTGCTTCCCAGGGCTCCCAGCTCCGTGGCCAGGAAGGGATGTGCACCCCAGAGGCCATGCAAATCTCAACCCAGGTGGGACTGACCACATGGGTGTCCAGTGACAGGGGTTTGAGATGTGACTGTGGCAGTGCTCCAGAGCGGGTGTTCCTCACGGTGGGGGTGTGAGTTCCTGCCAACCACGGTGTCCCTTATGAGATCCTGGCAGGCGGGGTTGGCAGCTCATCCCCAATCCCTCTGCATTAATCACCCACAGCTGCCCCAACCCACCCCAGCATCCCGCCCAGCCCCCGCAACCATTCCTCCCCTCCAGCTCCAATGCCAGGTTCCTCAGAACCTGGAGGCTCTACAGGGGCCAGGAGCCTGGCAGAGACCCAGGTCCACACAGAGGCCCTGACCACCCCAGGCAGTTTCCATGTTGTTGCTGGGTTGTCTTAGGGAGAAGGTTCTGGAATGGAGGCCAGCCAGGTAATCCAGATGTGCACCCCCACCTCGGGAGGTCCGCCTCAGTATCGGGATGCTGTGTGTACCTGGAGCTGTGGGCAAACACCTCCTTCCCCTTCCTGCTCAGAATCCCCTGTGGCCCCAGAGCCCGGTCAGGGGTGTCGTTATGCCCGTGGTCAGTCAGTGGTCATAGGACACCTGCACTCCTCAGACCCCAGCGTGGACCAGAACTGAGGAGTGAGTCCGTGGCCAAATGGAGAGCTCCATAACTTGTCACAAGAGGTGGTTTCTTCATTTGTTTTTCAACCACAAAATCCTCACACTAGCTTTTATTTTATTTTCTGACATTTTTTAATTTTTTTTTGTTGTAGCTTAAGTGAAAGTTTACAATTCAAGTCAGTCTCTCATACAAAAATTTATACATACACTGTTATGTGACCTTAATTGCTCTCCCTGGACTGTGACAGCACACTCCTCCTTTCTACCTCGGATTTCCCGTGTCCGTTCAACGAGCCCCTGATCCTCTCTGCCTTCTCATCTCGCCTCCGGACAGGAGCTGCCCATTTAGTCTCATGTATCTACTTGAGCTGAGAAGCACACTCTTCACGAGCATCATTTTATATCCCACAGTCCAGTCTAATCTTTGTCTGAAGAGTTGGCCTTGGGAATGGTTTTAGTTCTGGGTTGACAGAGAGTCCGGGGGCGATGCTTTCTGGGGTTCCTCCAGTCTCAGTCAGACCATTAAGTGTGGTCTTTTTACTAGAATTTGAGTTCTGCATCCCACCCTTCTCCCGCTTGGTTAGGGACTCTCTGTTGTGTTCCCTGTCAGGGCGGTCATTGGTGGTAGCTGGGCACCATCCAGTTCTTCTGGTCTCAGGCTGAAGTCTCTGGTCTATGTGGCCCTTTCTTGGGATAATATTTTCCTTGTGTCTTTGTCACACTGGGTGTTAAGTGCGTGTGACAAGAGGTGCCCACAGAAGCTTTAACAGGAAAGCATACGAAGATGCAGGTTGTTCCAGAAAGAACAATGAATGGTCTTCGTTGGCATCTGGAGCAGAGAGGCGCGAGGGGCTGCTGGGCCAAACAAAAGGCAGTGTGGTGCCCACCAAATGGTCGAGGAGCTGACTCGGGGCAGACTCCCCAGGACATGCGCCTGCCCAGGAGCCCCCCAGGTCCCGGGACCACGGGTTATGGCACCATCCTCAAGACCCTGCCTGCCTGGGCCTCACGCAGACCGGACGGCAGCAGACAGGCGGGAAGGCTGAGTCAGGTCCCAGTTTTCCTATCAAGCCCTTCATCAGGGAAACAGGGCAGGGGTCTCCAGCTCGGCCCGATGCCCTCGGCCTGCAGAAGCCCTCCACCAAGCTGGGGGCCGGGGCACCTGCTTCTACGCTGCCGTCTCCCCTCCCCCCACCATCCAGCTGAGGCTGTCACCGCAGCTGTTGATGGGTTCCACCTGGATCTGAGCTCACCGCCCTACTAGTCCTGGGCGGGGGTAGTGGGGGTGCGGGTGGGGGTGCATGGTCTGACAGCTCTACCTGGCCACAGAGCAGAAGAATGTTCCAGAAGGCGTGGAGCTGTTCCAGAGACTGCCTTGCTGCCACAGTCTGTTTAAGACCAGCTCTTCCTCGGTGGAAGGCCGCAGCGAGTTGTCTGTGGGGTCACGCTCTTGCTGCCTGTCCTCCATGCTGGGTTGTACTCAGGCATGCATCTCTGTCCCAAAGCTGGATTTGAGAGAAGACAGATGTGACCCATGCCGCATCTGGTGGCTTGTGTGAGCCCTGCGTGCCCTCAGCACGAGCCCCGCTGTCCATCCGTCTGGGAAACAGCAGACCACAGCAGCATGCCCTTTGCCGCCGTTCCCGGGCCTCTGCTCCCACACCAGCAGTTCTCACTTGGGAGACTGTCATACTTGGAGGGAGCCACTGGCATCTAGGGGCTGGAGGCCAGGGATGCTGCCATCATCCTACAGTGCGCAGGACACCCCCACCACAAAAAAATGTTCCGGGCCCAGTGTCTGCAGTGTCTAGGTTGAGAATCCTGCCCTTCGTGGTCACTTTCCTTTCAAGGACAGGGCTGCAATGAGGCTCAGGGGAACACTGCCAGTCCTCAGGCCTCCACTCAGCACCCGACTGAGCTCACTGTGGGCGCCAGGCCCGCGGAGGCTCGTGGCTGGTAGAGGGAGACTCATTCTAACAGGTCCGGCCACGGTACTGTACTCGGTCAGGGGTTGGCAAGCTTCCTCCCACCCAGCCCAGCCCCCAAGTGCTCAGAGCTGGGCAGGTGGGTGGGGCACGCTGTGTCCCTGGGACTCACTGGTCCCCATGGAGGTATCACGGCCCTGCACATAGTAGGTATGCAAGAAACTGCCCTCAAGTGAGGTTCAAGTCAAGGCTAGTGT